GATGGGGGTGATGGCAGCTGATTTAAAAGCTGTGGGAACAGTACCAGTGGTCAGAGAGGAGTGGGTGATGTTAGTGATGATAGGAAGCAGAGAGGGGAGACAGGATTTAACCAAAGCTGTGGGGTTGAGATCTAGCTGTGAGGAGGAGGATTTGGACTTCCTAATGATGGCGGAGACGTCAGCAGCAGAGGGGWGGGAGTTCTATTAAGATGTTAGAGGCAGAGTTTGGCCCAAGGTGTTGGTGTATGGAGCAGATTTTTTCAGTGAAGAATGATATGAGGGAGTTACAGCAGTCAGTAGAAAACATGTGAGGGGGTAGAGAGTTCGGAGATGAAACTGTGCAGTTAAGGAGGAAGAAAAKAGTCTGTGTGTTGCCTACATTGGAACTGATAATGTCAGTGAAGTAGTTAGAGTTGGCCTGAGCGATACTTTCTTTGTACTGTAGGGTGTGGTTCATGTACATCTCTTTGTGAACTGTAAGACCTGATTTCTTGTAGAGTCACTCTAGTCTGCAACCTTGTGTTTTCATGGAGCGAAGTTCTGAGGTGAACCATGGAGCAGAAGTGGAGAAGGAGACAGAATGGGTTTTAAGAGGAGCAAGAGAGTCGAGGATGTTGGTGAGACCATTGTTGTAGGTGGAGACTAGATCATCTCGGTTAGTTGAGTTAACGGTGGAGAAATTGTTTTAATCTGAGAAAGGAGAGCCTCCTGGTTGACGTTCTTGATGTTAAGAAACTGAATAGTGCGTTGTAGTCTGAAAGAAGAGAATTTTAAATTGAGGCTGAAAGAAAGCAACAGGTGATCAGTAAAAGGAAGCTCATCAGAAGAACATTTAAGAGGCGAGAGACCAGAACAACATAATAAGTCCAAAGTGTGACCCTTAATGTGAGTTGGAAAACTGATGAACTGCTGGAAGCCACAGCTGTCGAGACAGGATGAAAAGTCTCTGGTGAGTGGGTTGTTGTCTTCATCCATATGAATGTTGAAGTCTCCCAGCAGGACAATGCTGGGTGAAAGGGCTGAGAAGTAGGCGAGAAAAGCTCCAAAGTCATTTATGAAAGAGTTGTTTGGTTTGGGTGAGCGATAAATAGTGGCAACAATGGTGGGGATAGGGCCGGATAGTAAGCAGACAGTCTGCTCAAAACAGGTGGAGAGAGGTGTGTGAACTGGAGTGACCTTCCAGTTCTCGCAGTGAATTATCACGAGACCTCCTCCGCGGCCGGATTCACTGGACTTTGCAATGTAAACAAAACCCGGTGGTGTTGATTCATTGAGATGACAAAAGTCGTTCCACGTAGAGCTCATCTGTTTTTTAGCGGTGTTCAGTCGAAGCAACGAGACGAGGATCATTTAGTGTTTTTAGTCGAAGTTAAGCTCAAAATGTTGAAGTTAATTACAACTTCCCCTTAGAGGGCCACCACAATGCTGGGAGTTTGACACCCCTGATCTAGAGCAAAATTCTGCCTAACAGAGTCACAAAGAGGAACTTTTTAATACAGAGTTACTGTTATTTTCTAATTTTACAACTCAAAAACTTCAAAACAAGAGGCAGTTTTTAAAAATTTGGTCATTTACCGCCTAGTTTTATTTACTAGGGTGTTTTGAAAACACGATTTCCATTGATCTGGAATAATGTCATCAAGAAGTCCAACCCTTTATATTAAGAGAGGAATCCCGAAGCCTCAGACCAGACATATGAAGGGATTTCCTGGCATTACAGCATCTAGCAGAGAAATATGGTCAATTTAAAAGGATATTAAAATGATTTTTACCTGTTAGAAAACATTAATTTGAAGGTATTATATGATATTTTWATAATTAGTTTTTGTGCAAATCTCAATTACAGCAAAAAGCACAATTTTTTTGTTGTTTGCACTGCAGCCTGTGCACATTCTGACACTTTTTGCCAGCATGAGCTTCAAAAAAAGAAAAGTTCTGTGTATTTTGGACTTAGTGGGCTCCTGTCGCTGCATTATTTGAATGATTGAACAGATTATTTCAAAGACAAATACAAGATCGACTTTTGTTGTTTCAGTAGATCCGGTATAGGAGGGGGTGGGATGGGTGGGATTTCGGGTGTTTGTGTTTTTGTTAGTTTGTTTTTTGTTGTGAATTATGTTAAAAAAATAATAAAAAAGACATTGATAAATAAAGATTAGTTCAAAGACAAAGAGAAAAAAGGACATTTTTGTTTGTTATTTTATGATTTAGGCTTTAAATACTTTATAATGTCAATTTATTTAATCGTAACTGAAAAAGATACCAATAAAAGAGGTTTTTGTGGTTCTCATTATTCACCAAATACTGTTACCCAGAAATCTGCCTGCAGAAAAAAAAAACATTATAATGCATCAAGCATAAGGAAACATTTTATTGTGCAGTCTTTAATAATAAAAAATAAAGAATAGACAGTATAAATGGAATATTTTTAAGTTGCTCATCCTTTATAAAATGCATTCATTTGCTGGAATCTTCAGCATCTTGGGAGTTGGGTTTTGGCTTGGCCAGGTTGGCCCTGACCCGGGCCTGGTCCACAGCGTCCAGCAGGTTCTTGGAGTCGAGCGCCAGGGTGTGAGCGGCTGCCAGCATCTGCTTCTGACACTCCTCCTTCAGAGACGTGACTGAGTTCTGCTGAGCCAGGCGCATCTTGTTGATCAGCTCGCCTAAATCCTTGTTCAGCAGTTTCTTGGTGCCCTCGATCTGAGACGGACAGGAAATCACAGTGATGCAGAGTTACCTTGTCATCTGAGAAACAGAATCCAACCAAATCATGAATCCACACTCACTGATGAAAAGAAAAAAAAAAGTCCAGCTACTAGACAAAATTTGGACATATTTTTGGCCACAATCAGACCAGGTGTGGATCTGTGATGAATTTGGTTTGCAAGGAGCTGAAACATCTAGAACAAACACCAGAGGACATAGGATCAGGTAGGTGTRTCTGATACTGCCTGATATGTGTGTAGTACAGAGGTTTCACTGGTTTGAAGGTGAAGGTTTCAGCCACACAGSACACACCGAGATAAGACCACTGAAYTCACCAATCATATRTTCAAATATTCACTCACCAACCAGACACAAGTACTCTCTAACCCAGAGCATGGGGAGGTTCGGCTATGGCTGAGKGGTTARGGGAGTCATCTTCTAATCAGATCAGAGAGTTGGCAGTTCATTTCCCCGCTATTCAATCACATGTCAAAGTATCCCTGGGCAAGACACTGAACACCCACTGCCTCTAATGTGTGTCTCATCAGTGTATGAATGTGATTTAAGCACTGATTAGTCTCTATAGGATGATTTGTACACATTAGCTTTGTAGAGAGACAGAGTGCTGTGTGAAAGGGTAAATGAGTACAGATTGTTGTGTGAAACACATTGAGTATCCTGATTGGATWGAAAGACGTTATATAGTACAGTCCATTTACCATTATCTTTTCATTGCAAGAAATGAAAGAAARAAAGAAACAAAAAMCATTTTTACATTTTTCATTTACCGAACAAAAATCAAAATTTGGATAATGAACTGACATCCAGTTTTCGATTGAGTGCGCCAAACGAAATAGGAAAAAAGGAAAACAAGCGCTCATTTGATTTAGTTTATTTGACCTTTTTAGCGACCTGACCTGGAAGTTCTCTCTGCCCCATAGAGAGCTCTTTGTGTACACACGTCCAAAAGAGCGTAGGATCCATTTGATCACACAGAGAACCTGATACCCTGATTTTATGGATGCGGATTATAAACACTCAAGAACAGAGATCAGCATCTAAACATGCTGATAGTTTGCAGAGCTTTTTAACCTTCTAAAACCCATAAAATGCAGGCGTATTCTTCCAGACCCCCGGCCACTTTTCCCAAAAAAGAAACCTCCACCCACACAAAATCCTGGCTACAGACCTGAGTACTGGACTCCTTACACCACCAATACCATCCTGTGTGCCCTCTCTGTACGACCTGCATCAGCAGACTATAAAACGAGTAATCCAAATTCTGGCTGGTACTATGGGTTCACCATCCTATAATCTTCTGTTAGTACCATAACAGAGATGCTGCTGGTGTTGTATCACACTCTGGTCTGTGTTACTACTGATCGCCATCATGTGTGACTGCACCGAGGAGAGAGGAACTGAAGAAAATTTTATAATTGATTAACTAAATGTTAGATGCAGTTTTGTATTTTATATTTTATACTTCCTGATCACTGAAACCTTTAAGTTTAAACAGAATGAGAGTTGGTGCGTGCCTTATCATGTGTTCTTTCTTTTAGCCTAACCAAAAATGGGTTACGTTCTGAAGTAAAAGGTAACACCTCCAGACACCTCCAGGGGTGTAACCAGGACAAGAAATACATTATAAGTTCAATTCATTATTAGAGAAGTGTTTTCAGAAGTTGTTAGTTTTGCAGAGTCTCTGTTCAGATCCAGCCTGGACAGACTAGGCTGCTGTGTTTGGGTTTTCCTGATACTAGTTCAAGGACTTATGCTGAGGCCTGTGTTGAGTGCTGTACTGTGAACCTGATTGGAGTCAGAAGATTGAGAATAAAGTTTTAAGAAGAAATCCATTGGATTCCTGTTTATTCAGACATACCATTTTGAACAACGCATTTTTTCTAYAGAACTAYCCCCMSTAACCTAACCCTAACATAACCTTAACCTTCTTCAATGTAAAGAGTTGATACTTCTGGCCTCTAGGTTTGGGGAGTTGTGAAGTCCCTCTGAATCCCCCATCCTGCGCTTGAATGTCTTCAAACAAGAAAAACCCCGCTGACACGTAGGTGTATACAGACTCCCCGATTCTTGTTGAGGTCCTGGAAGAATGAGCAGGCTTAAACATAAACTCAGACCGAGTGCTCATCTGTTGAACCTGTAGGGYCAGATCTGACAGGTTTGGGCCCATTGAGAGTTTGCAACAACCTTTCAACACTTACGATTTTATCTCATTTCCACCTAATTCTGGCGAGCAGTGTAACATCATTTTTTTTGGTCAGTGAGTGTTCAAATTGTTGAACTGGAKCAAAAAAAAATGAAGGTGGGGAGCATCCCAAGTCGTACCTCCGTGGTGACAGAGCTGTGCAGAGAGGGCAGAATCTCATCCACACTTTGAATCAGGCTGCGGAGCGTGATTCCCACTGCCTGACAGGTGGGRGAGAAAGAGAGGGAAATTAATCCAAAAACTGATCCATAAACATGCTTGGACTGACTCTACAGCGCCCTCTTGTGGTAATTTCTTTGGTTCTTAACAGATGATGATGATTAATGATGGTGGGGGAGGTACCTTGACTGCGTTGGGGTACTCGGAGGCAGGCARAGTGTTGACRTCATTCTTGAGCTGCACCACCTGCYTCACCATYGCCATGACCCCGGTGTAGACCTTGTCACCGGACCGGTCCAGTTCAGCCGTGGGCTGAGGCTGCAGCGGGGCATGACACACAAAACAAAAGAACAGTTTGACCTGAACAACTTTTAGGAGGAGTAAACGTCAGTTACTGAAACTGAGTTTCACCTGAGAGACTGTGGGGGGCAWTGGGGGTTTCTCTGGGGGTCCTGAAACACAAATAAAACCTTAATTTAAGTCTTTTTTCCCCAGCTTGTTAATTAAAATGTCCAAACTGGTGGGGTGTGTTTATTTCCTTTAGATGTTGCAGTGAGTTTTTAAATGAGATCAAACACTTTATTCTTTGTTTTCTCTGAGTTATAATGAGAACGACAGCCTACAAAATAAAAGCACAAATAAGATGGGATGAAACGGACTCACCATTTTCTGGGCTTTTCTCCGACGGCTGCTGATGACAAGCAAGAAAACAAAACACATCAGGYCAGACAGCAGGTGCTTTCTTTACCACAGGCACTGAGGCAAATCAGACACATTTGAGTCTACAAGGCAATAAAGCTCCGGGCCAGCAGACCTTCACATCAGATTGATCTGCATGTGTTTATTTGTGTGTGCATGTCTGTTATCAAAATATATCAAGAACCACTTGACTTATTTTAATGAAACTTTCAGAAAACAATCATCGGATGTACATCTACAGCTGTTTAACGWTTGGAGTCARTCTGATTAAATAYGGYGGCTACAGTTAGTCATCCTTYGTAAACATGAAAATGGCTGCAAATGAGGCAGCTTTACAGATACTGAGCTGAAATTTAGTGAGGCGGCAGCTAAGAGTCATCCTCAATAACAGATACTGTAGATACTGTGTATTAGTTGAAATTGTTGACATTACCTGTTGGAGTCAACTCTTATGACTGTTAGTAAAACATCTAATGAACCAATAGATACATTTTATTGAAACTACCAGAAATGAATCATAGAAAGCACATCTACAACCGGTTAAATTTTGAAGTCAGCCTGATTCAAAATGGCCGCCAAAGCTAGTTGATCTTAGAAGACAACGAAATGGCTATGACTCAGCCAAGTTTATAGTTGTGGAGCTAAAATTTGACGTGGTAGTAGTTTAGAGTCATCCTCAACACATGCCTCAAGAACTAACTGATCATCAGAGACAGAATCAGAAAAAAAAGTCACTGATGAYGAMGAAACTAATATTCAGTTCTGTTTTCTACTGAAGTGGCTTTAAAAAACAATCAGAATCAGTTTTAYTGCCATTGTCAATGAACAGGATTTACAGACTAGGAATTTACTTCCGTGTAAAGGTGCAATAGATACAAAATATAACAAATAAAGGAAATACAAAGAATAAAGTAAAAATATAATAAAATATATAAAACATATGTACAGCAGTTCAAATCAAATCAGACAATATAGTTGGAGTAGCGCAGTTAGATCCAGTGATAAAAGTGACCAGAAAAACAATATAGTCAGGGTTGTGCAGTTTAAAAACCAGCGATAAAGTTGCCAAGGCAGAGTTATAGTGACGTGATTCTAAATGTGAGATCATGTGAGAGATTTCAATTTTGTGTGCAATTCTACGTAACAAAATTTCAAAGATTTCCCCCAAAGGGCTACAAATATGTCATTTTTCAATGAAAGATGCTTCAACTCCTCCTTCAAAACAACTTTCTACCTTCATTTATAAAAAACATTTGATCAGAAGGCTGTGCTTAGGCTGCCTTCAGGCCCAGGCCTCTCTTGTTAGAGATCTGTAATCTCAGTGGGATTAGCCTGGTTATATAGAGGTTTAGAATATAAGAAGGTACTATCAAAAGCAAAAAAGGGCAAAACCTAAAAAATTTAAAACAGCTTTAGAGACCAATTGAGGCATATTTAATGGAYGTTGTGTACCTTAGTTTGTGAATCCAGTCGCACCGTAGGGTCCTACACACAGAGCAACAGTTGTAAATCTGATTGTACTGTATGGCAACCATGAGTAGCATTTATTTGACTCATAAAAGCCCTGATTCGAGTCACACTACAGRGGCCTGATCTCTGATCTCCAGCTGCAACTCTTCTGTGTGTTTTTGTGTCTTTGAGAGGAACAAAATTCTCACCAGGTGTCTCTCCTCCTTCTCCAGCCACTCTCTGTCCATCAGCATCTCTCTTCTCTGTCTTTGCAACGTGTACTCCACGTTTTCTTTCTCCCACATGGACCTGTCACCAGTCTCTGGCCCCTAACACACACACACACACACACACACACACACACACACACACACACACACACAC